TGAGCGACACTGTAAAGTATGCCTTGTACTTCCCTTGTTTCTAAATATAAGTCTTTTTTAGAGATTCTAATATGGACTACATACGGAAAAAAACTTATATTTAGGAACGGAGGGAGTAGAATGCAAGATGCTTAAGAAGGTGCTTTGTAAAATAAACCATTTTTTTCTTAATTATTAGTGCTTATCTCTACAGGAGGGGTGCCTAACTAGCGCTTATCATCTCCAAAGAAGTACCGGTGCTTGAATAAAATATGATTTATTTCTCTAAGCACCTTGCATTGTATAAGGCCTTATCGCAAGTGTGTCAAAATAACACTATAAAGTCAATGTGGTAGACTGAAATTTTGGAAGGCTTAGTCCTACTCAAGTTTGATAGTGAAAAGCCATCCGATCATAAGTAATCAAAGGTTCATTTCGAAGGACCATGTACGAGTCTGAGAATTTGTGATAAGTTAAAGACCATAAACGTGATACACATATCTTTGATAAAAGTTGCATCCAAACCATTTGAAGTAGTTATGACCACACATAGTCAACTACTAATAAATTAACTAAAAATTGTGCATTGGTAGAAAAGGTCTTTGGTATAAAATACCCACTATCTCTAAACACTTGTGTGTAATAAAAAGATTAAGGCAAGTGGTACTCTAGCAAGCTAAGATCCAGCACAAACAAATTGAGTAAGACTACAATTAGTATGGACGACATGTTAGCCACTTAAGCTAAGCTAAATTCTTTTTAGCAAATGAATGTCAAATGGTAGAACAAGACAAAACATCATTTTATTGGCAATCCATACAATTTTTGTTAGGACAAAAAAATTGCCACCATATCTTAACAAAACTGTCACTAATAAATACATCCGTCCTAGTCATTAATTGTCAATGCTCTAATGAGGCAACTAGGAGTAGCTAAATAAAACAAATCACCACTTGCATTACCTATTTTTCTAAATGGAATTATTATTACTATTAAACAATAAAATGGATAATACAAATTGCATAAAAGCATTCAAGCTTTCTTCTTTTGCATCAGGACGCGCACAACCAAAACCGTATAAGCCACACCAATGGGTATGAAAATAAAAGTCGCTAGAGATACCAAGGAAATAAACTCTCAAGATGTTGCATAGAAAACTCATGACGCCTTCATGCGAAGACTAGGCTAACATCCATGCTGGACAAACCGATCCCTGACCACCTTCTCCAACTGCGAACACACCACCATCACCAGCTCATGGCCCTCCCTTTGCTGATGTAGTTTTGTGGGTTAGTGATCCGTGTAGAAAGATTAAATGTAACCATGTCATCCCTTTATTGGATACACCCATAAAATATTAGTTTCTTGTGAAGATTAGTCATGTATATATCTGCTTTGTTCAATTGAATGGGTGCATGCATTGCAAATAAATGATGTTTTGTCTTGTCCACACAATGTATATAACCACGTCGCAAAAATAGACGAACATGGGTCTAGGCGCACCGAATTGTGTTTTTGATGGTGAAAAGAATAAAAAAATGTAAAACTTTCTCAGAACAAGCATTGTCTAGTGTATTACTCGCCTATAAAGTTTCACGAAAAAAATGACTTTTGTGGTATTTGGAACGAGTGAAACCAAAACCGATACTGTATTAAACTTACTATTCACACAGTTTATACTTGCAATTTTGTCTTTTTTGCCAACAATATTATAGAAGCCATTTTGTTTTGAAACTTTACACGTGAGTAATACGCTAGACAATGCTTGTTCCGACAAAGTTTGACATATTTTTTACTTTTTTTTTGGCTAATCGGTTGCATCTGGACCCATGTTCCAAAAATCTGCACCAACCATGTCGTCCCTTTGGTGATCCGTGTAGAAAGATTGTTCCACGCCACTAGATTTTGTACAGCTAAGACATGAGAAAGGATATCACATCAACGTCGATGGTATGCTTGTCCCTTACAATATGTAAAGATGATGGTATTGACGGTTGAGAGGAGTCATGCCCACCCATTTAATTCTCCTAGAATCGCACCTTTAAGCCATCCTCGATGTTGGAGGTCCAAAAGAAAAGAAACCCCTCTTACATTCATAATGCTTGCCCAGAAATGAGAGTCTCACATTTGCACTCTATCTGGATTTAAGCTTCAAAGTTTCTCGAAGGTGCTCCATAAAGAGGATTGTCTAGTCTACTGCAGGATTGACCGCCGACCATCTACCAGAGGTGGTATCATTCTAGAAATTGAACCGCCAGCTACGGAATCTGCTATTAGATTAGCCATTTTCGTTATTACTTTTTGAGTCCAAGGGATTATAGTTGTCGAATCTATAAATTGCATTCAAGTTGCCTCTTTCAGTAAAAAAAATTGTCAACACATTAGCGAATATTGAAAAGGGATTGGGAAAAGAATGTCTCCTTGACAGGGTCTTTTTATGTTTCGAAGTTATTTTCTTTAACATACGAAGGGCCTTCCCTTTCGATTCCATTAAAGAAACCAAGCATTTCTCCTACAAACAAACTACTGCAGAAAAGTAAAAAAGCGACGACAGAATCACCCGGAGAAACAAAAGCGAAGGGGAACAAAGGCGCACACCCGAAGTATACGTGGCCATGGGCAGCCTGGCCCGGACGGCCCGACCCGACCAGGCCCAAAAAAGCCTGGCCCGACCTTGTCCATAGGCCGGGCCTGGGCCTAGATTGCCAGACCGGCCCAGGCCCGAGCCCACCATATTAGCGATTTAACGAAGAGGCCCGGTCCAAGGCCCGAGGCTTGGATGGGCTTTTACACTGTCGGGCCAGACTTGGGCCTGATTTTTAGGCCCGACACCTGGGCCAGGCCTAAGTTATCTGCATTGGGCTTGGTTAGGCCCAGCCCAGCCCGAAGGATGGCCAGGTATAACCCGTAGTGCTTAGGAGCATTTTTTGTTTCGAAGTATACCCTAGCAATTTGTAACAAGATCATTCGTTTTCAGTTCCTACTTGCAATATTTGTGTAGTGTGATTGAGTGTGCCTATATATGCATTGACATACTACCCAAAAAATGAATATTCGGATAATTTGTTTAGTGATGGACTGATGGTACCTAGTTAAGCCATAATTTGCAAGTGTTTTCTTTCGCAGCTGTCTGAGTCTGTATGGAAGGCCACAAGCTCACAGCATGCAACAACAAAAAATGTTCAGATCGAGCTTTTTCTTTTTAATTTCAAGAAAGTATGGCTGGTCTCCATCTTGGCGCCACAAAGCTATCTAATCTTCCCAACACGTCAGAATTGAAGGTTGCCATGTCTATACATGGTGGAAGCTTCAAGAACAACTCACGTAGCTAGCTGAGCTAGAACATGGGTATGGTTCGGCAAAGACCAAGTGGAGTGGCCCTGGCGGCGGCTCTAGTTACTCTCCAGCTTCTCCTTCTCCCCTCGCCCGCCTCGTCGCAGGCGCAGGTCCTCCTGCTTCGTTACATGATCCGCGCCAGGCCACTCATCACCAAGGTCGTCACGGATTTCTTGCAGAACCGCGCCGCCGAGGGTGTGACAGACATCTTCCGGCGACAGCAAAATGACGAGAGCGGCGACGTCCCGGTGCCGGCGGGCCCAGACGCGCAGGCGCAGGCTCAGCTGGGCAGTGCGGCTGTCGAAACCGCCGGCCTCGTCGTCTTCGACCTCGCCGTCGGGACGCGGACCATCTCCGGCGTCATGGACATCTCCTCCCAGCTCGTCTGGACGCAGTGCGTGCAGACGCCCCTCTCCGTGCAGCCCACCGAGTCCGGGGGAGGCTCCTTCTCGTGGCTCCCCTGCGCCAGCCCGGCGTGCCAGCGCGTGCTCAGCCGGACCTGCATCCTCGACAGCGACGGCTGCAGCTACGTCGCCACGTACGGCAGCGACGCCACCGCCTACACGTCCGGCTACCTGGCCACCGACACCTTCACCTTCGGGAACACGTCTGTCCCCGGCATGGTGCTGGGCTGCAGCGCCGTGA